TCACACTCACTCACTAATTTCATTTTTCTACTAACATTGTCGAACAGCAACCATACATGCATATATTTTTGCGATACCCTGACATAAACAATTCCATCGCATCTCATCCTATGTGTTTTATGTCTGTTTAACAGTTTTTGAATGACATTTTGGGAAAAAAAAAAAAAAAAAATCACACTCACTAATTTCATTTTTCTACTAACATTGTCGAACAGCAACCATACATGCATATATTTTTGCGATACCCTGACATAAACAATTCCATCGCATCTCATCCTATGTGTTTTATGTCTGTTTAACAGTTTTTGTGGAAATGACATTTTAAACATTTTAGAATAATATATATAATAATAATGGCATACTGATTTGTTACAATATTTGTAATCTAATTGCACATTTGTAACCTGAATAATAGTAAATATTTACTATTACAACTTGACTGGAAATGATAATCAGTATAAATATTCTGCTCACAATTGATATTTTTGCCTCATCTTTTGCACATTTAATCTCATTGACTCTTAAGTGGCTTCTCCTTGGTAAACAAGTCCACTAAAATTTGATAAAAATTACAACTATGGGTCAGCGTAGGTTTTGAAAAATATATAGAAATCATTTTCAAAAAAAAAAAAAGAGAGAAATTTTATGTATATAAACAATCCCTTGTATATGTGACCTTGGACCACAAAACCAATAAGGGTCAATTTTATGAAATTGAGATTTATACAAAATCTGAAAGTTGAATAAATAAGCTTTCCATTGATGTATGGTTTGTTAAGATAGGATAATATTTGGCCGAGATACATTTCAAATAATACATTATTTGAAAATCTGGAATCTGAGAGTGCAAAAAAAATAAAATAAATAAAAATAAATAAATAAAAATATTGAGAAAATCGCCTTTAAAGTTGTCCAAAAGAAGTTCTTAGCAATGCATATTACTAATCAAAAATTAAGTTTTGAGATATTTACGGTAGGCAATTTAGAAAATATCTTCATGGAACATGATCTTTACTTAACATCCTAATGATTTTTGTCATAAAAGAAAAATCGATAATTTTGACCCATACAATGTATTGTTGGCTATTGCTACAAATATACCCCAGCGATTTAAGACTGGTTTTGTGGTCCAGGGTCAAATATAAAAGTGCCTGTAGCTGAAGAAACACTTTAATTGTAGAATTCTCTTCATTTAATGAAAGGAATCATCAGGAAGATTAGTATTTTTTTATATTTGAATGGACTATGTAATGTAATAGCCTCATGTACAATAATTTCATGTACAGGATGTGCTGTGTAGATTGGTGAATAATATCAGCTTGCTTGATGACATTTGTTTTTTTGGCATATGTCAGCAGCATTTGGGTTTACGACTATACTCGCCTACAAAAGCACATGCATAATAGCAAGTGTTAGCATTGTGGGTGCTTGTCCATGATCAGGTGGCCCATACAAGGCCCACCCATAAATCATTCCTCACATCAATGTCGTGCCAGTGGGTATGAGGTCACCAGGATAATGTTACAGATATTCACACCGAGTCATATGTCAATAATTAGCCTTATCCAGCACTGTCTATCTGTCAGAGAACAACATGCAGTGAACTATTAGTGGTCTCTCAGTCTGCCAGTTTTATAAATTAGAGAACAAGATATCTTGTAAGTTCCAGTTAAAACAAATCCATCATGCAGAGTGTGAACATGCTTTACAGATAGTTGATTATTTTTCCAATTTCCCATAACTTTGTTTCCCATATCATTGTCAAACATAAATAGAATAGATACAGTTTTGGTATTTATGCACAGGTCATTGGTTTTAAATGGGTGATAAAGAACACAAAACCATTCAGATTTTTTTTTTTTTTAGAAAGGTTAGGACATTTTTGTTTTTTCCCCCCTTATAGATAAGACTGATGTTTGTTATGGATCTTGGCCTGCATACTAGCTACATGTCTAAACCACACTGAAACTTGGTCTTGTACAAAATTCCTTGAAAGCCTACATGTTTAATGTAAACATGGAAAAGTAATTTAATCCAAAGGATGAACAGTATGAGCACAACCTACTAAACAATTCCCAACAAGAATGTGTATGGGATTTCTGTGGAGAAATGATGTCTGATGATGTCCTTTGTGATTTTCTCAGATGGACGAGATGATCACTAACATCAGAGAGGTATTTGTGAGTAATCTGGATGATCTAGCTTGGATGGATGCTGAAACTAAGAAAGCTGCAGAGGAGAAGGTGAGGCTTATTTTTAATTTAAATTTAATGTTTCAAGTTAAAGGTTAATGATACTGCACAATCACTGCTGATCAAAAATGCCAGAACATGACTAAAAGTATCTTTGAATGCTCATTCCATAGAAATCTTTTCTTGACTAAAGAAATAAAGAGTTTGCTGATAATTGACTTTTTGCTGTACCAAAGACACACATTAATAATACTATTTATTTACTTTTCTTCACTACAGGCACGAGCAATCAGAGAAAGAATTGGTTTTTCAGAAAATATCATGAACAACACATACCTGGACCAGGAATACCAAGATGTGAGTGCCTACAAGATGAAGGGTGAATTAAAAAGATCATGTTAATTAAAATAATTGAAAATTAATCTGTTGTGCAAATCTTCCATTTTCCTATTAGTTAAGCTACAGTGCAGAAGAATACTTTGAGAACATTCTAAAGAACTTGGAGTTTGGTCAGAAGAAACGCCTAAAGAAACTGAGAATCAAAGTGAACAAAGAAGAGTAAGAACTTATAAGATATATGATTGTATAACTGTGCTCTAAAATAGTGTTTCCGTTTTCCCAGTTTAGTAACGGTCATAAAACCCTAATGAATAAAGAGCTCTAATTAAATATTAAAGTGATATGCATCTTTAATTCAAGGTGGATCACAGGAGCTGCTGTTGTCAATGCATTCTACTCATCTAGCAGAAACCAAATAGGTATTTGAATCACATTTACACAATGTAGCAGTAACTATAATAATAATAATAATAATCTGCTTTGTCTAACCATGAAGAATTCATTTGAGTTATCTGCTTTTAGTATTTCCTGCAGGTATACTTCAGCCACCATTCTTTGGTAAAGGTCAGCCCTGGTCTCTGAATTATGGCGGCATTGGGATGGTCATTGGGCATGAGATCACTCACGGCTTTGATGACAATGGTATCAGACTCCAAACAGATCTCTCTTACATATTTTGTCACGCAACAGTGTTGCAGGGTTAAATTTACATATTTCTTTCCTTGTTCAGGACGTAATTTTGATAAAGATGGTGACCTCAAAGACTGGTGGACTAAATCTTCAACTCAGAAATTCCATGAGCTTTCCAAATGCATTGTGGACCAGTATGGAAGCTACTCTTGGGATTTGGCGAATGGACAAAATGTATTCAATAACTGTCTATAATGAACATGACCATTTTTTAAATTCCATTTCTTTTACATTATCTATAATTTTTTATTACAAATATGATAGTTATGCTGCACATGATGTCCAGTCAAATAAAGCTTACCATACCGTTTAGAAAACATTGTTTAAAAAATAATAGTTCTATCTACCCTACTGTGCTAGGTTTGTTTTTACCATTTGTGACTTTCATGTCATTGGTTCCTTATAGCTATCTGTGAGTTTCTGACAGCAGTAATTTGGACCTTATTAGTTACACATATAGTTTTCCTGGAACTAGAATAAGCTGTAATTTTTTTTTTTGAGATGTAGAAAGACATCTAAATTTCTGTCTCATTTTCCATCCCCTTTCTTCTTTTTTTCTCTCTTCTGTCCTTTGTGTGAACAGTTAAATGGGAATAATACCCTTGGGGAGAACATTGCCGACAACGGGGGCATTCGCCAGTCTTATCAAGTAAAGAGAGGGCAACTTAGCCTTTACTGCATCTCTTTTGACATCCCTTTTTACTGCTAGAATAATTGGTTTAGTTTAATATGCTTTCTCACTTCCAAAAGGGGACAAAAGTTCAGTCATTTTGAAATGTGATCATAATTCAAGTCTTTGCAGTCAAAAGGAGTTAGTTTGAAGGTTAAAAAAACAAACAAACAAAAAAAAAATATGATGATAGATACTACTCATATGCTGAGCAGAGAGGGCAGCTCAGTTTGTTCCACTGTGGATGGATTTCTGTCACACTGTGATGACAGAGGGAATCAGCTTAATAGTTTGGATTCTTAGAAAAGCCAAAGTGGGAGAAAATTGCTCATGGACTACAGTTCAGTGTGCTTAATACTAGGTCTCACTGAACCATCAAATATAGTCAACAGTATATAATATATAATTCCAAATCTGTCACTTAGGAAAGCCTTCAGAAGGCATTTGGCTGTGAGATAAAACTTCATGTCTGATGTTAATTGTTATTTAGAAATTTGAGAGACAATGGTTTGTTTTCAGTAACTGCTTCCCAAGATTCATCAGAATCACTGTGCTTACTTTTTCAGGCCTACCAGAACTATGTGAAAAAACATGGAAAAGAGGCTCCTCTGCCTGGAATTGACCTCAATCACGAGCAACTCTTTTTCCTTAACTTTGCACAGGTGAAACACTTAATTGGAGAACTTGCAGGAATATTCCAGGTTCAGTACCTCTGAAGTTAATATCAACTGACAGCACTTGTGGCATAATGTTGATACCACAAAAATTATTTTAACATTGAATGTTAGGTTATATTAAATTTTACAACTTCATTGTCATGACAACACAAAGAGGCCAGCTTTACTAACAGCTTGCACCACCGCAAACCCTCTTTGGGCCTAAATCACTCACACTAGGTTGTCCTGTTTGGTAAATCTGGCCCATAATGCCAATAAACCCTTAGGCTCAAATATATCAACATTGTCACAAAGCTTACCTTCTTCTGAACTCCTGCATATGACCAGTCTGATGAATACAAATAGGAATGCTTTAATTAAGTTTTTTGAACAACCCCCCTTTTTTTTTTTTTACAAGGTTTGGTGTGGAACACATAGACCAGAGCATGCTGTCAACTCCATCAAAACAGAAGTCCACAGTCCAGGGAAGTTTAGGTATGTATGTTAACCTTCTTTCACTGACTTCTGTTTTATGCCTTTCAGACTCATGTCAGAATGTGTTGGTAATCACTACTTTGCCATTTCTCTTTGTACAGAGTTCTTGGGTCATTACAGAACTTCCCAGAGTTCGCCAAAGCCTTCCAGTGCCAGAAAAACACCAACATGGTGCCTGAGAAGATTTGCAGGGTGTGGTGATTACTTGAGGAACAGAAGATGAGGGTTATATTGAGGGCCCGTGGTCCGTATACCCTCTCAACTCTCTGCTGACTCTTAGACCACTATGGCAGATGCTGATAAATGTTCTCATCGGTGTAAGCTATGGCCACTATGCTCAACTCCACCAGTGCACTTGAGCCATATATAGAGAGGGGGGGCTGTCTCAGAACACTCCTACAAGCATCAGCCAATTTATTTGAATACAGTTTGTGAGATCATTACTCAGTTCATGGCTCTTACTGTTTTATACACTAAGTCTGAAGAATAAAGTAAAAAAACAACAAAACAAAAACAAATCTAAAGTAAAGGTTATGTAGAGATACTATCAAAAATTATGACAATGTTAATCAAGTAAAACTGTGAATTGGAGATATTAGTAGCATTATGTTTATACATATTTAAAGCAATACTCGTATACATACACTGCTTATAGGCTACTGGTCAACTTGATTAGATTCAGTAAGTAACTATGAAGCTACCCAAACATGCCCAAGAATATTATGTAGGCTATAGTACCATGGGAGTTAATAGATATTTAAGTGAATTCCAAGAAAATTGTTCAACTCTGTATTCATTTATCTAATTAGCAAATTATCTGATTTGTACACAGCACATTGTAATAAAAAAAAATGTAGATTAATTTGTAATCTGTGTCATTGAATTTATTTTCCTTAGAAGATTTGCTGATTATCATAAAAGATTAACTGGAACAATATACATTTTCTGTAAATCAGACACTGAATGTTTGATTTGAAAATCCCAAACATGACAAGACGGATAGACATATTAAAATGTGTATTTTTATTTCTTCTTTCATTGTGCTGTCCTTGATATTTGTATGAATGGGTGTGCATGTGACAAATAATGTCATTCTGTCAAATGTCACTGAATTAAAGCCTTAAAATGTTTTCAATTCTGTTTTCAACATTTGTCAATGTTTTCATATAATGTGGAGGACTAAATTAATCATATTGAGACCAATTCATGCAGACAGTGTTTATGCCAAAGATTTTTACACATATCCTTACTCTCTGCTTTTTTAAAGAAAAAAATCAATATATCTTATACATAATTGTTTCTGAAATGCTGGTCCCAACATGTCTATTACATCTTCATTAGCAATGACACAAACTGCCAAATTAGATGTTTTTTTTTCTTCACATTTTTTGAAAACGTAGAAGCTTATATTTGTGATATTGTTAGTTGTCAGGCATAGCAATTTTACATGTATTTTACATTAGCATTACAAAATATATTCATTCTCGTGGGCATTGGGATACTGTACGTTTAAAAACAAGAAGCTCAAAGGAGTTTTGCCTAACAGCTCCTCTGTGCTGTGTTAACAAAAACATCAAAATGCTGCAGTTTTTTCTTTACATTTTTGTTCTATTCTGTCCTTTTGATCACAGGGGTCTTTTTTCTCAGTATTGTTTGCTATTTTACATGTTTGCACACTGTTTTCCCCTCTCTGATAAAACACTGTTCACCAAAATCCATCTCAACCACTTCACAGACAAATATACCTCAGATGCCTGTATTTAGAAACTTTGTAATAAGCATATTCAGAAGAGAATTTTGTTTTATTAATAAATTGTTAATGTAAACATTTCTTTGTTGTGCATTTTGTTTTCTCAAGGTCTCTTGCTTCTTTGATGAAATGTGATGAACGAGGAACAAAAACAGGCCTCAAAAACCTCTGTGGCGATTTTTCTGGCAGGCAAACAAGCCCTGGGAGAGTGTATTGCAGAATATCAGCAGCCCAGTGAAAAGAAACACTGTTATTTTTCATGTGTAATGCCTTTACACTGCACTGAGACAGATTTGGTTGGGGTTCTTGCTCCCATATGGGGCCTTGCAAAAGTAGGAGTGTACAGCCTTTTGCAGTGCATGCTCACAAATCTTCTGACCCTTGTAAAGCTTCACCATAGGGATTTGCTGCTGTTCACTTCATATTAGTCCTGTAGGTCCTGTCCAGCATCTTTACTGCCTCTTTGCAGATGAGTTAAATATACCTCACGCTGCCACCCACCTGATTAAAAACAGATTTGTTGGCTGACTGGTGACAGGTTACAGTGAGGGCTGAAACTCGAACTGCAGGTCTACCATACCTTCTCCACTCCCTGCTGCATATCACTCTTCAACTTGTAGTGTGTTTAATGTTTGATATTAACACACAATGTATTCATCTATTCATTTATTTTTATTATAAGGACTTTCCATTGACTTTCATTCTTTTCAGAGCCAGTGACATTTTAAAACCTGACAACACACATACTGTATAAAATCACAAACACTAACAAATACGAATTTATTTGGCTATTTATTATTTTTTTTTAATTTATTATTATTATTATTATTATTTATTTTTTTTGTATTACAGTTTAAAGAGAAAATTCAAGCTTTGAGTTCAAAGTTGTTCAGTTTCCAGTCTTGAAACAGAATTCGTTTGCTGTCTTGTTTTGATTTGTTTTTCAATTTGGTACGGTTGAATAGTTTATTCCACTATTTGTAATTTTACCATCTTGTGATTGCATGGGCATCAACATGACCACCTAATATTCCAAAACATGTACAAAAAGTTTTATAACATTATTTACAATTAAACAAATGCTTGTACACTGCCTCTTTTTGGCCTGTACCATGAAAGTTTGCGTGTGAATGTGCAGGCCTAATATCGTCTCCTCACTAACTCCACCACAGAGGATCATTTAGTGACCGTAACACTAAGTTCCTCTTGTTGAGAAAACTATATAATAATTCTAACTATGATTTCAACCTTAAAACCTGGCAGTTTTATGAGATTATTTCTAATCTAAAGAAATAATCTAATCTAAAATAGTCTTATAGTTTGATGCCAAGCAAAGCTGATGAGTACAACACTTTCCAGCATGCACAGACATTACATGTTTCTCTTGCTTCTTAACCCCTGCACTGTGGTTACAAGTCATTATAGGTTCAAGCTCATTTAAATTTGCTGTACAGTGTCATTTCATTACTATTCAGAGAGGCAAAAGTAAGTTGCATTGTCATGTCACCAGATATGTTAGATAAATGTGTGGTCAAAATATTGTACTGTGTAGTTGAACAGTGCAGGGTGAGATTTAAAATAATAATGTTCACCTTTTTTGTTTTCAATGTATCTGAATTCATGTGAAACAATACTGTGAAAACATACTACTCTGGCGAGATTTCGAAGTGTGCCCCCAACTGAGACTTTGAGGCCATGGGAGAGAATTTGTGAATGGCAATGAAGAAACACAACTGACAGTTAACATAATGACAACATGAACAACATGGATTTATATACTATCAGGGCTTGACATTAACTTTTTTGCTCACCAGCCACTGTGGCTAGTGGTTTTCCAAAATTACTAGCCACTCAGCATTTTCAACGGTCATAATTTTGTTGCTGGGAAATTACATTTTATATGATTTAAGTTCACGACTGCATTACTTAAACTGATTTCCAGGTCATTTTTGCCTATATAAAAGGCAGTCTTTTTGCTAACATAATTTTTCCATATCAAATAGTTAAATATTTACTAATAATTACAGTTAATATAATGAGACACTATAGGACTGTTACCAATCAAATTAAATCAGAATCAACAAAACAGATCTCTCCACTGCAGAATAAAGTGAAGCAGTTGAAGTGGCATTTAGATGCGTTTTTACACAGACAAATGTAATGAAGCTCAAATGTAGCATGCCATGAATGCCATGAAGGCATTTACGCTGCAAAATTACAACTGCATAAATAATGTTATGTTTTAAATTACAATTTTAAATTAAAGTTTTTTTGTTGTAATATCCAAATATGAACTACTTTTAAATATGAAAGTAGGCCTAAACCACCAGCAGGCTATTGAGTAAGTCATGAAGTCATTGATTCAAACGATTCATTCAGATGGCTGATTCATTCAAGAATGAACCAAGTGCCTGGCTGCGTCCGAAACCACCTACATCTCTACTATATAGTAGGGGAAAAGCAGTAGGCGAGCGAATAAGTATGTCCGAATCCTCAGTATTCATAAAAGAGTAGGCGAGAATTACCTGGGTGACGTACTAATTCTCACGAGATTCGGACGTGCGTCTACTTAAAGTGCGTCCGAATATGCATACTTACCTACTATATAGTAGGAGAAAAGAGTATTTGAAGAAAGTAGTATATCCGAAACCTCAGTATTCATAAAAGAGTAGCCGATAAATCCCTGGATGTCCTACTGCTTCAAGATTCCAGATTCTGAAGTGCTCATCGATGGATACTTTTCTATCCCAGGAGGCCACATGAGAGAATACGTCATCATCGAACGTGAAGGAGAACAGCGGCGACAGACATCTGAGTGAGTGATGTATGTGTGCTATTATGTAGAATTCACTGTTGTCAACTTTGTCAGCTTTAGATGAATGTAAGTAATATAAATAAACAAATCTACATAGAGTAACTAAACATAAGTTGTCTATTTTATTTGTCCTGTTGATAAATTGTGGAGCACTTGTGTTAGATAAAAAGAGAGTTAACACAACATGTAAATGCAGTATTGAGCAGATAAATCACAGAGGTCACTTGAATCTTGTCTGGATGTTACAGGGACAGATGAGACACACATGTGTTTATCCT